GTGATTTATTAGCTTATTGAAGTCGCATTGTTTTTATATTCCTCCAATCCTCTGAATCAATACAGTGCAAATCTTTTTGTGGGCACACTTTCAAGTTGCCTGGCCTTACACTTTTAGGCAGTGGTCTGCAGGCATTACCAATTTTGAACACTTACAATGCGTAATTCCCTACAAATACATGTTGGACTAATTGATTAAAGAGCAAACTACTTAACTCTATTCCTCTCTTTGCGGCCAATATCTTCCGATAGTATCAGCTTAAGGGGATGACCTTCCATGCTAAGAAGACTCTATAGCTTAAAATCACGTGATTAACAGTTTCTAGAATAAGGTTATAGGAATAAAAAGTGAGGTTTAAATACTAGTTTTTTTCGTCAGAATATCATCGAAGGAAAGTTAATATTTTACAGCCCCCATACAACGAAGACCAAGAGTTAAGTGGTTACAACAGGTAAACATTGTAATCCACAAGAAAAATAGCATAAACTTTAATTGATAATCGAAAGTATGACGACCAAGATGGTGTTGCCTTTCGCATTGTCGTAGTCACCTTTCGTTGTATATAGTTGTTTGACCCTGTTTTAGGAACTTGGTCATATTGACAGGAAAACCTAGAGGAACGCACCTCGTCCGAAGTCCATAGTATGCAGGATAATATCCAAAGTCGGACCATGGACTTGGTATATTCCCAGACGTTTCGCCGGCATTGTAGTCGGCATCATCAGTAGTGTCAAGTATTGGCAAGGCTCACGGATGATGCCGGCGAAACGTCTGGGAACGTGCCAAGTCCATGGTTCGACTCTGGAAATGATCATGCATTTGATTGGTAAGCTCACTTCCATTTCGAGTGGTAGTGTGTGATGAAGTGATTCGAGGGTCTATCTCACCAGAAGACAAAGGCGGATTCCTCCTGACCATTTATCAGTTGGCTTTACTAAACATTCTCTTTCATGCAGCCTTCAAAGCGATCCCCTTCGGTTGCGGCTAAAACATACTAAAAATTCGCCTGCGTTATTACAAGCGAAAAAGCTATATTATTTATAGTCACATTCAAATTAGCAAATAAAAGAAACTTATCCGCTAAGTGCTGTAAATATGTCGTAAACCTGCCCATTTTTGTGAGGTCTAGTGCAACTTCGTTGATGTCATAATTCAATCTAGAAGAATCAGCATGCGTATGCATTTGTAATTGTGTGCACGTATAAGCAAGAAACCAGAAGTAAAAGCACACAGTAATCAAAAAAGAACGCAAAATCTATCCTAGGTAATTAGGGTTTAATGACTCCCACTTTCCTCCCTTTCTTATTCCAACAGTTACTCAGATTTATTAATGCCGGATATAATAAATATATATAATTTGCAATCTGGCGGCATGGTGGGTATCTGCTAGATAATTTCTTGTTCTTAACTAACCAAAAGGAAATTAATAGTAGGTTTAAAATGGAAATACAAAAGAATAATTGCATACCATTTTTGGATGTCTTAGTCATCAGAGGAGGAAAGAAGTTGAGTAGAAATTTATAAGTAGATTTTTGAGAATATCAGTACATCAGTTATATGAGATATAAGCATCCAATTTCGTTCAATGTGATGAAGGACCGGTAGTAGAATTTTTCCACAATGATATGAGTAGAGCTGACGTTTTCCATTGGAGTTCATACAACCTTGCTCTCCCAAAAGTTGATCTCATCCAGGGTGGGTGTTGATGTGACCTATGCGAGGTCGGAACTGCAGTACGCTGTCCGAAGGACTTCGGACAAGGTGAGTTCAACTAAGTGCCCTGACAACACAACCAAATTGCGAAAACTAGGTAGACCATCATATGACAATTACCATTCAAGAAATTCCTCGAGAATCAACATTCATACTTAAATTTTGAATGCCTATTTCTTTGCTTCATTATAGCACTGGTCGGAAGAATATACTCCCAGACTCGAAAATGGTTATTCCAGTAAGACAGTACTCAAACCTTCTTACATGTGCTCGGATTGTGGACTCGCTTTGATGTGTGATGCCTCACGTCCAACACGTTGTGTAGACTGAGGCCAATCCACTTGGGCTTCCCTGCTGAATGCTTGCAAAGGGTTGGATGCTGCCTCCTGGCTCCACATTTGGTGGCTATAATCAGGTGGCCGATTCTTTTGTCGGTGCTGATGATGGACGAGCATCCTTAGGGCAGATGAGATGCTCTCAGAACTGCCCTCAGGATCACTTGTAGAGGCCATAGGGCGGCAAAGAGCCCTAGGCCTACCCCGAGCCTCGAATGTCCCACGAGGATGAAGAAGTGAGTGTTCTCCAACACTTGCCGCTATCTCAGTTTCCTCGGCTGGATAGGGTCGGTATCGTGGTTTGGGCAGTAGGGTGCGTGATAACCGAACCTCGTCTATCGAAGAAGAGGCTGAATCAGACAGGCAGGTGTGATCTGATGCATGGTACGAAAAATAGAAACAAATCTTCAATGTCATTATTATTTTTATGCAAATCCTGTATAGATAACAGCTAGCATTGGGAATATCTTGCTAACTAGTTGAACCGACTGGAACAATGTGTATTAAACATAATTTCCTTAGTTTTTGACCTACCAAAAGTTCACTACATGATCTGATAGTGTCCGGTCTGACCTACATAATAATGAAAAAATAAAATGCCTGTCGAAGGATGAAAAGATTTTTAAATGGGTTAACCTTATTTTTGCAACTTGGTCGTATTGGCAGGGCACTTCGTTGGAGGCACCTTGTCCGAAGTTCTCTGCTATAATAGTTATTATCATTCCCAGTTTGGTGTTGAGAATCGCAAGATTCACTGACGACACCGACTAGGATATCGGCGAAATGTCTGAGAATGTACCAAGTCTACGGTCCGGTGTTGGGAGTTATGATACCTACTATAGCAGAGGACTTCGGACAAGGTCCATCCAACTAAGTCTCTCTAACAACACAACCAAGTTAAGTAAACGAGATCAACCCACTTCCAAAGTATTTTATGACTCCAATCTTCTATTCCAAGTTGGAATAGCTTCGAAAGATCCCGTCACGTCCCATCAGCAAATGGCAAGTAATCAGATATATTTCTAAATAGATAAACAGATTTTCGTAAAACTGTTTTTGATTTAAATTTGAATATAACATTTTTTTAAAGGCTTAGTAAAAAAATATTTTTGTAAAGAAGTTGTTTTATCTTGTTTTAGCAATTTGTTCATATTGGTAGGAAGACTTAGAGGAACGTACCTAGTCCGGAGTCCATTGCATGCATGATAGTTTCCAAAGTGAAGGCGTAATACGAGGATATATGAGAGGTGAATAGCCCAGGACAAGAGAGATACCACAACTGTTTAGCACACATTTGGTCGAGTGATCGGCTTCACTTGTCTCTTTGACGAGTTGCTGTCTGGTACTAAGAATGGCGAGACTCACGGACGATGACGACTATGAGGCCGGCCAAGTCCACGGTCCGAATTTGGAAATGATCATGCAAACAATGGACTCCGGACTAGGTGCATTCCTTTAGGTTTTCCTACCAATATGACCAAGTTGAGAAAACAAGGTCAAACAACCTCTATACCACGAAAGAAGACTGAGACCAAAGAAAAGGTCATACCATCTTGGTCTTCATACCTTCAATATTTTGGCAAGCCAGACTGGAAATTGAGAGAGGATATACATTTATCTGCTGGTCATTTGTTCTAGCACTTAAACGATGAAATTGCCGTAGTACTTGAGTACATTTCATCAGTCCTTGGTGGAACTGTGATTTAGTTTTTTACTATGAAGTAGGCACCGCAAGAATAGAAAATGTAGGCTGAAGTAGAATCTTGTTTTTTCAATGTACATTTTCAAATGGCATCAACAATCTTCCTATGTAAGAAATTTTTTCCATCAACAAAATTTCTAATTATTGTTCGTATAATTTATGATTATTGATCATTTTGAAATTAGAAAGGGACCCTATTTTGCAATGTTTCATAGAGTCTTTCATTCTTACGAACTTTTGGTGCTATATACACTGATTTACAACCAAACTTATCACGGCTCCAACTGCCTATACCATATTTGTCAATAAATTGAATGTGAAGGATTTCTGAAGCACCTGAGTCAATTGTCCACTGGTACAAGTTATAAGCAAAGATAGAACCCATTTTATCAACCTCCATTTTTATTTGCTTAGGGCTTTTAAATGATTATACAAGTCTGTGCAAATCAACAATGTTGCATAATCGCTTCTTCCATTTCCGGCCTACAGTAATTTGTCTGTAGCGTTTATCATTACAGCTAATATGTCTAGCGTAGTCGGCTTCTCTAAAGTTTAGCCCCATGTTGCGTAATTCATACCCTATACATACGACATGCTATTCTTTTAGCCATACTATCAGGCTTTGAATACAAATGTAGTCATTTGGTGAATTTTTCATTGGGTGAATTAAGTACAGATAGCTAAGTTTGCCCACACTAGGAAGAATAGGCCTCACGATGCCATTAAATTTCACTTAGCCTTTCTTCCCAAAAGGCTAACTCATCCTAAGTGAACCGCAATTTTAACCTCGCCAAAGTCTCACCAGCGCCTAAGTGGGACTGTCACTTAAATAAATATATGATATCCATTTCAATAGACAGTGTTACCTAATTTTAATATGATTAATGTTGGAGTACCTTTCACTTAGTTTGAAGAGGTGAGTGGAAGGGATTGGTAAGTTGGTTCCACTGGAGGCAATGGGAGGCTTGCCTTAGAGCTGTGGCTGTAGATTTGTGCGAATAGGTCCTCGGTGCACCGCCCTGCGACTCCGAAGAATCCTTGCTAAGCTTTCGGTCATTATGTGACGGACGGAAAGCCTTTGTGGTTTGGGTGAATTATCGTTAACCATGGTGTCCTGCTATGACGATGTCCGTCACATTACGGACGAAAGTTCAGCAAAGATTCATCGGGATCGCAAGGCGGTGCGCCGAGGACCTTTCGCACAAATTGATAACCACAGCTCCAAGGAGATCCCCCCCCAACCCCAGATGGAACCAACTTACGAATCCCTTCCACTTACCCCTTCAAACCAAATTAAAGGTACTCCAACATCAATCTACCAAGGGATTTTTCGAAACTCAGTTTTTCTACATACATTTAGAGATTAAGTTTGTGTCTAAAAATTACTGATAGTCTCGAAAGCTGCTTGGATCAAAATTTTAAAAAAACAATGGCAGGCACAAGTTTCAAATACGAAGGGTAACTGGGCTTCGATGAATCTCCTGAGCCAAGATTGTTGGAGAAAACTTCAGGTCGTGCATGAAGAAGATATTCGATCTTACCAGAATAGGATGGCTGATGCCCGTTGTATCAGTGCCGTTTGGCTTTAATATGACGTTCAGGTTAACGCAATCCACAAGACATCCTCCCTTCTTTTGGGTGAAGACGGGATGATCTTTCGTTCAGGATACGATGGACATCGTCAGAGCTAAAAGTTATTCTTGTAAAAGTCTCATGTTAATAGTAGGTCAAGAATATTATTCGGCTTTAACTTATCCCTTATATAAAAACAATTAATATGCATCAATAGATATAGAAGGATTTGACTAATTAACTATAATGTTGGTTGTTCTACATTTTAGCAAGTATGTGCGTGTCTTAACGTCTATACGCAAAACCGGAATAAATCAGTGATCAAAAAAGCTTAATATCAGGTTCTGGTAAGCAAGGTTTAGTAACCTGAGAAAAAACCCTGAGAGAGACTGCGAAAGTCCGTAGGCAACCATGGTTGAGATAATGAGAAATAAGCTTAAAGGCGTGTAAGTCAGGTTATGAAACCACCTGTAAAAACGTCTCAAGCTTGGGTCATTATGGTTTAACAACCCAAATGATGTTTATAGGAAACAAATAAGTGTTGGCACTTATCTTAATTTTATTTTCAACTATATTGACAAAACCAAGGGCTGAATTTTTAAGCTAATGAATATTAAGAGTAGGAGACTAATGGAGAGAAACCTTTTGCATAAAGAGTTAGAACTGCTGACAGATTTATTCCTGGAATATAATTATCCTTTGGGCCTATTGATAATACCATCTCTTTAATGAGGAATAAATTTTCAGACGGAGCCTATTTAGTCAAAGATGGACAAGCTGAGACCTCTTCGCATGTCCTAATTTTGCCACCACACATTCTTTCTAAAAAGATAGGCGAACTAGTGAGAAAGCGGGGATTAAAACACTGTTCGATGAAACCCTCACATTTAATTCGGTTATTCCATCTTCTAGATAGAAATATGACCGATTATCGAAATCCGACTGCTACATAATTGTGTGCTCCTGTGGTCGACCCCATGTTGGTGAGACATGCCGGCCTAATTGACAAAGCTTAGGGGAACACAAAAATGCTTGTAAAGGAAGCTGGGTCCAACGGTCACAAGTGTCCGAGCACATGGCAGAGACAGAACATGAGATAGAATATACTAAAACAAGTAAGTTTTAAAATTATGCCATATCTGTTTTTAAAAGAAGGGTAGGAGGGTCTATTGAAATTAATAGATAAGGGAATACGGCAGACCTGGTAAATCGGGAATGGTGGTAGAACGTTGAGTAAGAACTACTCATGCTTGATTGATAGATTGAGGAAAAGAGAGGGTCTTGAGCCTTCATACAAAAGATGGTAACTCAGCTTGTCCGCTTAGTGATGGTTCTAACTCATACTCGTCCAACATGTTGGATCAAGCATATCAACCAAACCAGACGTACGAGATTACGAAGCCCCAGTCATACCCTTCCTTGGGTTGTTAAACCCTAATGACCTAAGACTGAGAAGTTGGGGCAGATGGTTCCGTGGCCTGACTTGCACACTTACAAGCATACATTTCATTATCTAAGCCACAGTTACTGATGGACTTACACAGTCTCAGTTGGGGATTTTTCTCAAGTCTTTACGTCTTTATGATCATAGCCTGACATTGGGCTTTTTTGATCACTCTGATTTAGAACCGGTATTTGTTTAGGCATAAACACGGAAACAAACACGCACACACTAGCAAATGTAACATGACCAATATAAAAGATAATTATCCAAACTAATTGACATCTATCTATGCCTATACAGTTTCTTTTTTATTTATGTGTATATGCAAGAGGTAAGATAGAGCCAGATTCTATTCTTGACCTAATGTTAACGTTAGACTTTTACTTGAATTAATTCCAGGTCTAATGGTGTCCATCATATCATGGACGAAAGCTCAGCCTGTTTTCATCCGAAGCGAGTGAGGATTTATCGTGGACTACGTCTCGTTCAACGTATTATTAAAGCCAAACGGCAGCAGCACAGTCCTCTTCTGGTGAGGTCGACCTTCGAATCTCTTCCACATGCACTTTCATACGAAATGAAAGTCTCTTCAATAAGCACATATTTGTTTAATCTATAATAACGTTATTGAATCTCAGATACCTAGCTTTCCCTGTCTATCGTAGTTGCCCTGTGACTT